TCATCATCCAGGTGGGGGCTGCACATTGGTGGTGGTGGAGGGGAGTCCCCATTACCTGTAAAGCGCTTTGAGTGGGGTGTCCAGAAAAGCTCTGTTTAAGTGTAAGGATTATTATTATTATAAGCTCCATGTGCTGCTAATATGAGCTTTCATCTAGATATTGTTCTCCCTCCCATTGTCTGTGTCAAGTGGAGCATTGTGGTTTCCTCCTAGGTGACACACAAGTTCTTCCTTTTACTTTGTATATGATAATGTTAGAGCTTCAGTTTAACAGAACTAGCCAAAGAGGAACAGAGGAATTGAGGAATCCCTAATTAGTAGAGAACATGTGTAATTATGAAGGTACTGCTTCCCTGTCTGTAATATTACCCTGGCTGTTGTGATGTTAAAGGTGTAGCCTAGGTAGTCTGCCTCAAAGTTTTAGTGTAAAATAACTTTAACTGAGAGACATAAATTGTCCCAAAAAAAACTGAGGGTAGTATAGGTGATAAAAATGATGAAGTCTTCACTTCATGTAAGCCCTTGCAATAATTATGTAGCTCACTACTTGTCTCTGTGCGGCAGACCCATAGAGTAAAAGACAGATTTCATGTTTGAATTTTAAACATGTTTGAATTTTTAGTTGGAAATAGTAATAGAAAACATTAAGAAGGCCTCTTCCTGGGATGTAACCTTTGAGCAGTCTTGGAGTGTGATGCTCATTTCATATTCCTGTGTTGCATATGAACTCTAAGGTGCAGAGCTAAAATAAAGGGATAGTGACTGATTAATTATTTTCATGATCTAGTCACGTTCAAAACGGGTGTTGGGAAAGGGAGTTGGAAACTAGGACTGGTTGTGGTACAAAAGGTTGCTATTAGAGCTGCTAAAACAAATGGAATAGTTCTAAAACCTGTCCCACTGTGGGTTGGGTACTACTTTTTGTAAACAATGTTTTTAGGTTTTAAAGCAGAATTGCCTGTTTTGTACTTCAGAGTGATGATAAGACCTCCTTACTTGTCATGGGGTGACAGCAAATGCACGAACTGAACATCGACATTCCGGAGAAGTAAAAAAAGTCAGAAGCTGTTAAAAATTTAAGAGGAACATAATCAGACCTCAGTCAATTGTTAGCCAACTCAAGGGCTGAAAGAACACTCCACAGTTGTCGCTTGGGGAAGTCACATAGTCTTCACACTGTTTAAAAAAACTTCAAAATTCAGAGAAATTTCATGATGATAAATAGCTGTATAGCATAAACTATTGTTCTCAAATATCCATGTTTTTTGTTTCATATGAGAAGAAATTTGACGTTAACTTTAAGATGGAGCTGGCTTGTAAATAGTGTAAAATGGGCTGCTGTGTGTTTACTGCCCCTCCCACATGCTGTGGTGTTAAAAATAAGTTTTAAAAAGCAAGCATTGTTAAACACAGGAAGCAGAAGACTGGCAGAAGCCAGTGTTCGTTGCACCCACTCAGTGAAACTCAGAAAAACAGGAAATGATGATTCAGGCGTGTGTATTTGAGTTATTTGTAGAATTATGCAGAAGCACAGTGATGCAATGTTTTTTGTTTGTTAAAAACTCCTTTTTAGAAGTCGCGAATAAGGCAGCTCATGTTGAGCTGATTCTGTTCAACTGAGTATATGGCACAGATGTCGAATTTAATTTTTTTTTGCATAAACTTTTTGTAGATACAAATTAGAGTTATTATAATATTAACTGCCTTCTTTATATTTGTGTACACGTGGCAGAACAAGCTAGAGTTCTGTAGCACTGTAAACTGTAGCACTGGGATTACCTGAATTTAAGAGTTTATTAACCCTAATCGCTTATGCAGATGCACATTTACGTAAATGAAGTTAAAGCGGTCTTAGAAAAGATCCTCTACGCTCCTTCTTAATTTAGTGTTAGTTTAGAGTTTTTCAAAGACTTTCAATGTGTTGCAACAATCCCATTGCTACAGCTGACTCTCAGCAGCCGAAGACTGGAGGTTACAGAGTAAAGAGGTAGTTTTCTAACCGTGTCCCTATGAACATCTTCCCACAGGACTGGACTGGTCTGAAGACAGTGCGGAGGATGATGAGGAGGTGGAGAGGTTACTGCCGTATCAGTATGCTTGGAGATTACGGGAAAGGTATTCACAGGACAAGTAAGTGTTTCTTATCGCCATTCCCGATCGTGAAGTTTCTCATGTTTGTTTAAAACTAAGCTGTGTAGTCTAGATTTCAACTTCCAGACTAAACAGAATAAATTAACCCATAGATACAGCCCTGACATCTAAAGTTGAACAGTACAGTCCACAGATCACATCGCTGTCAGAGCCATGTCCATTGCAGATAACCTTTATGAGTGAAACATTGACACTGAGCTATAGTATTTGATGGGAAAAATCTTAAGCAGTTTTTGTACCATGCTTGTGTACTTAAAGAGCCTGTGTATATTTATTATACAATATCTGTTGTTTTAATTGTTTTGCATCAAGATCACAAAGGTATTGTGCCTTTTCACCTACGTAGTCATATGTTCAACTAAAATAATGTGGCACTAGAGGGAGCCGGTAGCCATAGTAGTAATATTTTTATAGATGGATATCTGACACATGTACACAGCTGTAAGGTAAAGAACAGTGCTGTTTATTCAACGAGGTAAACACTAAACAAAACCCAGGCTCGTCTTTGAGCTCTGAGAAATCTACTTCACTAAACTATGTCCATAAATAACCAGGTAGCTAAGATGCTTATCAGTACCACAACCCAATATCCCAGAACCCTGAACCCCAGAAAAAATCACGATATGTCTCCAATCTGTTTTGGTAGGTTACTGCCATACTCCACTCTCCCTCTGGTGCAGATCACAATGAAGGCTCAGCCCTCTTTTCGGATAGCAGAGGTTGACGGCTGACTTATGCTTCTTGGTCTTTACTTGTCGCCTGTTCAGTTATCTTCTTCCAAGTGGTCAGATGACTCAGGAGGGCAGATCATTCCTCACTGCTTCTTGGCAAATGTAGTTCAGGCTAGAGCTCTAGTTGGAAGCTATTGCCCTCTTAGCTTGGTTGGAGCACTGGAGTCAAACCTGTAAGGATACTGCTGTTGTGCTTTAGTAAAAGACGGAGCTATATGAAGGAATATGTGTGTATGGTGCTTATGACACAAGCTTCAGCAAAATGATATAGTATTAATAGTATGTCTGTAATATACATGATGTATTTGTATAATCGATAATAAATGTGTATTGTGAGATTATTTTAATCACATCAGTGGCCCCTTGCTGTTGAACAGAACAAGTGCAAGGTAGAGTGATGATGGGGATGGAACATTTTTTTGGTAACTGTTGTATAAATTTTTGAGCAAACAACATTTAAGCAATACTTATTTAAAACTAGATTTTGGCTGTTTGAAACACCTGATTTCTGTTAGTCCAATTCCCTTTGGTCATGAGTTCATATCCACCTGCAAATCCCATGTTAATCCATTGATCTCATCTGACTGTTTTTTATCAGAGAACGTTTCGGCCCAGAATGTTTTTGTTTTTGCAAAGGAGATCTTTTTGTCTGCCGCGGCCGTCCGCTGTGTTGTCTAACTACCGTCTTGGCTTTGATGACCCGCAGCTCTGATGATATCGGGGCTTCGAGAAACAACAGGCTGGCCCGCCTTTGCACTTACCTGCAGCAGAAGTACAAGCACCTGTGTCGCCTGGAGAGGGCGGCGACGCGCCAGAAGAGATGCCGCTATGCTTTCCAGAAGGCCCTGCTCCACGCTGCTAGCAAAGACCCTGACTGCGCAGGACAGCTGATTCAGGAGCTGCGCATGGCCACTCACACACAGAACAGGTAGACTTCCGCTCCCCCCAGGTCGTAGAATTAACAACTCCGAGAAAGCTGAAATCTGAGTTTCTGTTTGAGTTGTATTCTAAATAGCCGGCTTAATTCGAAACTATTGGCCATTTTTTTCCCCCTAGAGATCTAATGATTGTTTCACACTTTTAAAGCACTCCATCTGTAAGTTATTTCTGGTGCAGAGAGAAGGGTTCGATTTGTCCATTTAAGTCGAGGCTTGGGTTCATGAAGTTTATGGCAGCTCAGGTGAAATATGTGACCTATATGCTTTTAAGGGACACAGTCCACAGAAATTGCATGTTTGCTTACCAGACCTTTAACTAAATACAGTTTGTAGTTCTACTAAAATAATAAAATCATTTGTTCTTGAAGAAAGCCAAAGAACTAGAAGAAAGGTGTGAGGGAAAAATAATACCACCTTTCCTTACTTAGGCAGTAAAATAATCTGGCCTTTTTTTACTCTTACTGTGATTTTCCTTGTATATTAATTTACTCTGCTTTCCTGAAACATGGCCAGACATTCAAGTGAATTGTATTTCCCTTGATTGATCATTTCAAAATGTATCAGTCTTTTTCTAGAAAATGACTCTGGATTGAAACAAAGCTTCAGCACTATAGCAAAAGTATTTGCGAAAATTCAAAATGGCGGCATGCAACATTTCATCCAAAAATCACAGCAAAACACGTAACAGCAGCTTTGAGACTTCCCCCAATATTTCACACACATTTTAGTGTAGTGATGTCATACAATTTAGCATCTGTTTGTAAACAGTTTGTCTGCTACACATTATAATAACGAGATGGGGTGAAAATCTAAAGAATTGACCACCAAGATTAAAAAGCTTATAAAAAGCCCTTCAATGCTTCAAAAGCATTTCAAGATGATAACGCACCTGTCCACAGAACCTTCGTCGTAACTGACTTTATACGAGACAATAATATTCCGTGTATCGCATGGCCTACACAGTCTCTGGACCTAAATGTTATGAAAATTTGTGGCTAAAAATCAAAAGAACTCTTCAAAATCAAACCCAAAATGTCACTACATCTGCTGAACTGTTGGCCATTATGAAGGTATGAACTAGTAATAGTGGAGTTTACAGCTGCCTGTAACTCAGCTCTTTTGTAATCTGCAGTGACATAAAGCTAAAAGATGGTATCTTTCCACTGACACTACTTGACCTCCCACAGCAGCACTGAATCCTTGTGCTACAGTATTATTTCTGGCAGGTTTCTATAGTAAGGTTCCATGGTGCTATGGGGGCAGTTGTGGGAGATTTGGTGTTTTGCTTACTTGTAAGCGTTTGCCCCACACTAGATATTTTTGCCAGGTGGGTTGCAGTTTTCTTTGAAGGAGGGTACTATACCTGTCTATATCACAGTCATTATTTTATTGTCTTGCTCCGTTAATAAAACATCTATACAGGGATCTCTCAAGAAACGTACATTGGATTGTACAGCTGAAAAAAAGATTTAGCCTCCTTAAAAAATAAACTTGTATTTTTAAGAAGGGTGAAGTTCTATCTGCTAGAAGCACAATTTGGTGGTGCGACTCCAAATTTCTATCCTAAATAAAAAGTTTAAGATTACAAGACATTTTAAAAAGCTTACAAAAACACAACTTTATTCTCATCATAAAAAAGGGAAAGTGTAAAATACAGACGCTTGTAAAAGTACTCACCCCCCTGAAATGTTTATTATTTTACTGTTTGTGCTTGAGCTTTTAATCTAGACTATTCTAAACTGATAAAGGTAGAAAATGCTGACAGTATGGAAGTAATAGGCAATTAGATTTAGATTTCCCATCACAGTATTATCCAATTGCTTTGCTAAGGCAGCCTTTAGCTCAGTTCAGATGCAAAAGTATATTTGATGTGTCATTCAGTTGGTGTAACGGTCTGAGTATAGTTAACAAAACTTGACTTTAGAGTAGATTCACCTGTTCCCTCTGAAAGATATTGAGTAATTGTCAAAAATGTTCATAGGGTGACAATATCCTGGTGCTTACAGAGAGCTGATGTGACACAAGACTTTGGATGCGATACACTGTAGATATGTATGTGTAGCATACATCCAATCCTCTATGCAAAGCTGGTACAGATCTTCCGAAAAATATTGACAGCAGTAATTGATGCTTCCAATAAGTACTGACTTAGGGGGATGAATATATATGAAGTAAGTACATTTCCCTTTGTTTGTCATTGCATGTATTTAACACATAACACAACTCCAGGTTGATCATTATAGCTTTGCATAAAAAGCAAAGGAACACTTGTAATTCAGTCAAAAAGTAATATTGTTGACATGGGGTGAATACCTTTGCAAGGTAATTTCAAATTTGTCCCAGTATTATGTGGAATAATCTCTGTGTGGGAGCATTTACACCCACTGACTCAGTCTCGTAGTGTCAGGAAAAAATGCAAGTGTTCTTTTTTTTTTTAAACCAAAGAGAAACTGACCCACCACTGATAGCTACTTCAGGCAGGCGGTTTTAAAAACAAAAATGGGGCGAGTGTCTTGGCTTGAAGCGCTGATTGTTTTCCGGTTTTCTCTCGTCAGTGTCAGGCCACCCGAACGAGGGGACGCAGACGCGGGGATCTGCACAGGAAACACTAAGGGCCAGCCGTGTACCAGTGGGGCGCTGCCCTTCACCAGGCACTGTTTCCAGCGTATCCTTCCATTTCTTCTACCCGAAACACTGCCCGCATGTCCAGCTGCGCCCTGGACACTCTGTCCGTTTGCCAGCTGCTTTCTCCAGTACAGAGTTGCGGCGGGGGAGGCCTGAGCCTATCCCAGCATGCAGGGGGCACAAGGCGGGGCACACACTGGGCGGGACACCAGTCCATCGCAGGGGAAGGACACAAGCACACCAGGGCCAGTTTTCCCAGGAGCCAATTAGACTCTATTCCCTCCACTGCAGAAAGGAGGGTGTTGTGCCGTTTTCTGTGTGTTTGTGTGGTGTGGGGGGGGGGATTCTGATTTAGAGGTGGTCAGAATCTAATCCCACAGATGGGAGCTTCGCACCATTGGCTCCTCGGCCAAGGACAGACACCAAACGTCTGAACCTGTGGTTCCTCTCGTACAGAGCAGGAACACTACTGCAGCATAACCTCGTCAGCAGAATAAAACCTGCTACCAGTAAAAAGCTTGGAAAATAAAAGACTAGTGTGTCTTTGGACTGCGTGAAGAAACCAGAGCACCCAGAGGAAACCCACATGAACATACAGACAGCACCCCAGCTCTGGAACTGAACGTGTGGCCCCTTCGCTAACCACTCCGATACTGTGTCTCCCATTGACACGTCATCGTGCTGAAAAATGCAGAATGTCAGTTTTCAAATTGTTGTATCAATATATCAGAGAGCCAAGAATAGTAAGATGCAGATTAGGGAAGGAGCAAACTAAAAGAAATTAAAAAGTGGTATTACAAACATGACCTGTAGAAGCATTATCAGCAAAGGAAATGTCTTAAAATCAGTACATTGACCATGACTTGATGTTGGAAGGAAAGTCAGACTTTTTACTGTCTTTTATAGATTGTTTTGGTTAATTGCATGACAAAAATTATATGCACTGAAAAGTAAACTTATAACTGTCCCATCAATGGTGTATTTATATAAATTTAATTGCATATAAACTAATCACCTATAAAACTTAATTTTTTAATTCAGATAGTTGAAGATCTTCCTTTAGATTTTTTGTATATAAAATGAAACCCAGGAAGTAGCACTGCATTAATTAACTTCCTTAACGAAAATAAGAGACTGAAATTTCACACCAGTTGTAGTTTTATGCATAACTGAAAAACCACTGGTTTGCATGATGTGTTAACTTGCACTACATTACTTGAATTACTTCCATTTTCAGGGTTCTAAGGTATTGTCCTCATAGGGACATTTGCTACCCTTTCTCTCAATTAGAACTGTAATTTGTAGGTATTTCATCACAGTTTTGTGTCGGGCCCTTGGATCCAGGGACGTGTTTTCATCGAATTCATCTGGTTTGCACCGCAGCCTCAGGGGATTGGGAAGCCCCAAGCCTGATTCCGGTGGCTCCTGGGAGTCTTTCCTTCACTATTTCTCTGCAGACATCTTGCTGAACCGGTCTCAGCAGCTGTTCTCCAGCTGCACCGCCAAGTTTGCCGATGGCCAGCAGTGCTCCATTCCAGTCTTCGACATCACACACCAGACGCCGCTCTGCGAGGAACACGCGAAGAAGATGGTAAAGGAATGATGCCGTTCGGCAGCATTTTCATGGTGGTTTTCATTCATGGTGCCTGTACGGATGTTTTCTAATCCTCAAATTTTGGTATTGAATACAAACCTGACTGGTTTACTAATCACCACACATCAGCTGTCAGTGGGGAGGAGAGCAGAGAGTAATGAAGCCAATTCATAGATGTACCAGTACCTGGTACTAACTGTACCAGAACCTAGACCATTGAAATAAACTAGGAAGAACCATGGTCTTAGAATAGATCAATGTTGTGTCCATTACTGTCGTTGCTTATTCCAGGAACTCTAGCAAATTAGTTGAGGAAGACCTTCCTTTTCTAACTCCATGTTGATTATTCCTGAGGGCCTAGTTGAGTTCAGATTAACTTCACCAACTTTACCCTTCCGAGATACGCGGTCTCCTTGGTGGCCCGCATGCGTTTACTCATAAATAAAACAATTACAGTTCAGCGTTAAATAATGCCAGGGTTTTTTTTCCCTCCTGGGCACAGGATAATTTCCTGCGGGGGGACGGCAACCGCAGAGTCCAGCACCAGCAGCCGCGCAAACCCAGGAAGAAGACGAAGCCTCCGGCCCTCACCAAAAAACACAAGAAGAAGAGGAGGAGAGGACCCCGTAGGCCACAGAAGCCCATTCCCCCCGCCGTGCCACAGGGCAACCTGGGCATGCCCTCCAGCCTTGCACTGCCAGCACAGGCCTCCAGCATCAGGTCAGCACTGGCGCTCCAACCTCCCAGCGCTGGGTGAGCTCTCACAGAGACGCCAGCAAAGTCTGGAGAGGAGGATGCATACCGTACGTCTGGGTTTCTTACAGAATTTGCCTGGCATCCTTGTGAGAGAATTTGAGTTGCTCCCAAATAAGATAAGATCACTTTATTAGCCATATACAGTTTCTTGCATTAGGAATTTGTCTTTTTGCATACCCCAGCTTGCTCTCCATGTGACACACAGGCACACAGACGGAGAGAGAGAAGCTTGGGGTCAGAGCTCCCATTTATATGGCGCCCCTGGAGCAGCTGGGGTTAAGGGCCTTGCTCAGGTGCCCAACGGAGTAGGATTCCTCTGCTGGTTTGAACCGGCAGCCTTCCAGCCACAGGCGCAGATCCTTAGCCACACAGCTGTATCTGCCTCTCAGCTGTGTGCTTTTGAAACCTAAAACTAAGCACAGAAGTGTTGTTTTCGAACTTATACCGTTTCTTCAGCACTGCTGAACAGTAGAAAAGGGGTCCTTCAGTCTCACCCTCTGATCTCGCAACTAGGGACATGTTTTAACTCGCCAAACCGAAACAGAACCTGGAACTGAGCTGCTTAATCCAGTTCAATCCAAGACTTCACAAAAGGCCATCCAAGATATCTGCTCAGCTTCAGCAATACATACGGTCCTCTGCCTAACAGTACCTGGGGGAATGATGTGCTTGATCATTGGTAATGTAGTTTGGCAAGCAATTGTGTTGGGGAGGATGTTGTAAACTCACGTTACAGCACACTTTAATTGCCTTGAGTAGATGAGAATTTAGATTTTGAATTTTAATTAATTTTAACACATTACAAAAAGTGTTATGAATTCATTAAGAAAATAACTTAATTAACTTTGTTCATTTTGACACTTAGAAAAGCTGAGTTATAACAGACCATCCTTAATATACTGCTACTGTCTCTGTAGATACTATTTACTTGACTATCTTCTGCGGGATGTTTAAATACCATCTCAATCAGGGCACTGATTGCTCAATTAGAATTGTCACAGATGTTGGGCATTGAGAAGCAGTTACTCAAAATAACAGTAGAATGGCAATGAACTGGCACAAAAGATTGCAGATGTTTCAGAGTTGTTTGTGTCAGGGCTGATGAAAGAGTTTAAAGTGGAGTAAACCAGCCTCCATGATTCTCCAAGACCTGAGGTGCCTGGGTTTGGCGTTTGACTAGATCATGCATACATACAAATTTTTTAAATAATAATAATTGCTTACACTTATATAGCGCTTTTCTGGACACTCCACTCAAAGCGCTTTACCAGGTAATGGGAACTCCCTTCCACCACCAATGTGCAGCATCCACCTGGATGTTGCGACAGCAGCCATAGTGTGTCAGAACGCTCACCACACATCAGCTATCAGTGGGGAGGAGAGCAGAGTAATGAGGCCAATTCATAGATGGGGATTATTAGGAGGCCATGATTGGTAAGAGCCAATGGGAAATTTGGCCAGGACGCCGGGGTTACACCCCTACTCTTTTCGAGAAATGCCCTGGGATTTTTAATGACCACAGAGAGTCAGGACCTCGGTTTTACGTCTCATCCGAAGGACAGCGCCTCTTTATGGTATAGTGTCCCCGTCACTATACTGGGGAATTAGGACCCTCATGGACCACAGGGTGAGCTGCTGTCCCCACTAACACCTCTTCCAGCAGCAACCTTAGTTTTTCCCAGGAGGTCTCCCATCCAGGTACTGACCAGGCTCACACCTGCTGAGCTTCAGTGGGTTGCCAGTTGTGAGTTGCAGGGTGACATGGCTGCTTTTTGGTTCGGGGATTGGAAAACAGATTAGCAAAAGGTTTTGTTAATTTTTCTTCATCCCACTCATATTAGCCCTACTCATTTCTTGCAACTGCTATGTATTCTTCTAAATTAAACTGGTATGCTGTGAAAATTTGCTAGTTTGCAAATGTCTACTCTGTCAAAAAAAAAAACTAATTTAAATGCGAACATGGAAACTGATATTAAAGTACCCAAGTCGTGACTGCAGACATCCAAGAAAGTTAGCAAATAGCATAATTCTTCTCTTGGTCTTCCTTATTGTTTTATACCATGAATTATGAAGTGTGATGAACTGTGATGACATTTATTGTGCACCTAATATTATTCAGAAACAAATGTTGGGCAGCTTTTTTTTTAAATGCTTTGTCTAAAGCACCGTTTTTCCCCATGCCTTTAATGATAGGAGCCCCTCAACCCCAGACCTGAGTACAGATGAGCTTCCTGATGACATCACCAATGACATCACAGACATTCCAAATGACCTTGAGCTCAATCAGGAGGATTTTTCTGACGTTTTGCCAAGGTTGCCTGACGACCTGCAGGATTTTGATTTGTTTGAAGGTATTTGATCATTTAAAAGATAACATTGAAGGACACAGGAAGAAGTACATAGCTGCTGGTAGGCAAGTGTTGAGTTTGGCTTATGAGTTACAATTTTTCAGTGAGTTAAAAGTGAATCTGAATTCAAGTCGACTATTCCATCAGATCTAGCCATACATGGATTTCACTCACTCTTTGTAGAACATTGTGAAGAAAGAAACAAGATGTGAAGAAGGGGTTAATTAAGTCCTTTTCTGCATGAAGATTAGACTTCTAAGGCTGGAGTTTATGGCAGGAAGGGGATAACAGAGTAGGAAACCCCCTGGGGACGTCATCTAACTGACCATTTGGCCAGGGTCTGTTAACTGGCCAAACACTGTGACCCCCCCCCGACCATAGTATTGAGGGACGTCAGAAGCGGCAGGAAAATGCTATATAAACTAAACGTTTGTACCGGTACTTGGAACAATACTTTGGTTTTGTTGTTTCTTGCGGGAAACAAGACTTTGGTTCTGTTGTTCCTTGCATGCAGTAAAGTCATCTGTTTAACTTCATCTCGGGATCCAGAACCTTATTCTTTCTGTTACAACAATTGTGTGAAGCCAAGTAATTCTGACAATGACCAGTTTAGTTGAAGTCTTTTCTCCTTTCCTTATTTCATTATTTATGTTAACTATTGAGTCGGCAAGACCACATTATTATCCTGTCAGTATTTTGTTTTGGGGGAAAAAGCAAGCAGCATGGGCCATAAAATATTAAATGTTCATTTATGACTATCCTTAGATGTGAGGGATGAAAGTAACTGATATGTGGATGCAGTGGTCATGAATGCAAACCTATTCTGAGTGATTTGTGTTGGGATTTTCAATAGTTTTGTTGAACAGCAAACTTGTTGACCCACTAATAAGGAACTTGAGGGGGGGTGTAGACCATCGTGAGACAGGTTGGTTTTTTCCCTCCAAGCGATGGGTTGTTGCCATAGGGATCCTGCTCGGTTCGAGAGGAGCGGCAGGTTCGGACCTCCGGTGTCTGGGCTTGGCCAAAGAGCCAATGGTGCGAAGCTCCCATCTGTGGGATTGTGACCGAACTCCTCTGAGTCAGAATCCCCTCCCCTCCCCCAGAATCCCCTTTGCTGTCTTTAAACGCAGCGTGTTGTTCCCCCTGCAGGTAAGAACGGAGAGCTGTTGCCTACCACGGAGGAGGCAGAGGAGCTGGAACGGGCGCTGCAGGCTATGACCTCCTACACGGCCTCGCTCGAGTGCCTGAGCTCCATGGGTGAGCTGACCCAGCCGGACACTGTGGTTGTCCAGGACCTTGCTGACCACCGGGCCATGGGGGTCTTCTCCGCCTCTTCCGTCCCGGGCGCCGGCATCGCCTCCCTGGGGCGGGCGGTGGCCAACAGCGAGCTGGGGGACCTGCTGAACGGGCGCATCCCTCCCGAGAACTTCTCCAGCCTGGAGCTGGACGAGAACCTGCTTCACTCTGCGGGCGGGCAGTTCCCCGCCCCGCCGTCCTCTCAGCCCCCGCACCCTCCCTCCGCCACCAGCGTCGGCCTTACCTCCGCTGCCCCCCCTCCCTCGTCCAACCCGCTGCTCACCCAGAGCCCCCTGACGGAGAGGACGTTCCCGCCACCTTTCCCCGGGCTCCACGAGGGCGGTCACCCCTCGCCACGGACCCACGCTCCCCACCTGCTGGCCAAGCCAGAGGAGCTCCTCCCCCCCCGACAGCAATACGCCGGCGAGCACTCGCACTCTTCCCCTCACGGCAGCCACTACAGCAGTGAACACGTGCCATCCCCCTACAGCGACCACATCACCTCCCCTCACCCGGGCACCTACCCCTCCGGGGATGGAGGCAGCGGTGGCAGCGCACTGGCAGCTAGTTTTCAGGCAGAGGCACCTCTCCTACCCACGCCTATCCTCCAGAGTCAGCTGGAGGTGCCCATGAGCGTGGTCCCGGGCAACCCCCGTCCTTCGTGGAACAACATGCCCCTCCCCTTGGCTGACCCCAGCCAGTTCGGTAACCTCATCGGCCCCGAGGGCCACCTGATCTCCACCTCCCTCTCCACGCCCCCCTCCACCTCGCACTCGGTCACCCTCCAGCCCTCGGCCGCCCTTTCGGCGCTGCCCCAGACAAACTTCGCCGGCCTGGCCGCCGCAGTGGGCTCCTCGGCCGGCCCCCTGTCCTCCTCCTCCCCTTCCTCGTCCTCTTCCTCCTCCTCCTCCTCCTCCACCGCCTCTCCGCACGACCTCCTGACCTCTAACCCCCCGAAGCAGCAGCTTCCGCAGTTCAGCGCCGCCTTCGGCCACCAGCTGGCCTCGCACAGCGGCATCCCCAAGGACGTCCAGCCCAGCCACAGCTCCACCGCGCCCCCCACTGGCTTCAGCGTCGCGGGCGCCAGCACCGCAAGTGCCAGCAGCGTGACGTCGCCCTTCCCCACGCAGTAGCGGGAGTGAGTGTGAGTGCCGCGATCAGTACGCTCCGGAGAGAGCAGGCCAGGGGTTTCAAACAAGTCAAACTCACAAGGTGGACTCACTGTTCGATACGGGGTAGTGCAGGTTTAGTCGCACGTGTGCAGTGAAAAACGTTACGCATAACACCAATGGAAAGACTGTGGAAAGTCACTAGTCTTGTAGTGTTGTAGTTGTTTTAAGTATATCTACTGTATTCCTTCAACACAAAACTATTAAAAAGAAACAGCATTCCTTGCATTTGGAGGCATCTGGTGTCTTCTGAATAAAGAATTGATAGTTGGTATTTAAAGAGAGACTCTTACAGCAATGTGAACTTGGCATTGTATGTACCTGCTTCTCAGCTATGCACTTTTGAAACCTAAAACTAAGCACAGAAGTTTTTTTTTTCCGAGCTTCTCATCATAGCTGATCAGAATAGACGAAGCGCCAAAAAATATCTGTAGGACTCGATTGGTTCAATTACAAGAAAAGAAAAGTTTATCTTTATCTGAAGCTAGGATTGTTTGGTGTTTTAAATGATTTTAATAATGTGAAAGGGTGTCGTATTGAAATTATACATTTTCTGAGCATATTTATCTAAATGGGGGTATTCTTCTCGGTTAAAGATCTTTTAAATAAATCATTTGAAATAATTCAGTTTTTTTTTCTTTCTACAGTAATTGAAATTGCTTTGCCAGAACCACTTTGTGCTGCAAACCAACATAGACACAATGAATGCGTGTATCACTTCTTTAAGTTTGCACTCCCTCTTGGGAACCTCTTGCTACAGTTGCTGAGGAACGTAGTCTGAATTTAAACCTGCAAACTCTCGTATCAAGGATCACCCTGCACTGTAGACTGGTACGTTCATACCACAGACACTCAGGGGCCCTGTTCTACTGCAAATCCCAGTTTATTAATCACAAAGGGTGGGCATCCCTGCTTCTGGAGTGCTGCGTTGATTTCTGGGTTTCATTTCATCTCAGACCTTCATGACTTAATTGAATATCAACATAATGTACATTTAGTTGATAAGAAGTCAGATCAGCTGTGTTTTCCAGAAATTAATCAGGTGCTGATTGAAAGGTGCCCTCTGAAACCTGCAGGACCTCAGCACTCAAAGACCAGGGTTACCCACCCCTGAGTTAAAGTAACACCTCTTTCTTCCTCTCTACCAAAGCCATATTTTTGCTATTTGTCAGTAGCTGCTTCCTATTCATTTATTGCTGAAGTTTCATCTTTTACAATGTGTAAATGTTTAGTGTAGGGTCGCAAAAGGATACAGCACAGTTTTAATGAATTTTGAGTTTTAATTGTTACGAAAGGAGTTTTAATTTGTTCTAAAATAAGGCTATTTTCCAGAGAACACACCCAAATGCACACACAGTGCATCTTTCCATAATGTTCGGCTCTGAACCCTGCTAAAGGGTTTTTATCATCTTGAGTTCAGCCCTACTCAGTATCTAATATTACCATTAATAGGAGTTTAGAAGGGATCGTTGCATTTGTATTTAAATTAAATTTGTATTAAAACTAAAAGATATCCACACATGGTGCAATGGCTATTTTTGATCCTGCTTATCCCTGCATTTCAGTCTTTTTCTGAAATGCCACATACAGCAGATGTCTCATTGCCCGCAAAAGCAAATTTAGAATCATCCCTTTCCACACAAGGGGAATCATATTAATGAGATCAGATTCTACATTGGCTATGCATTGATCCTCACATCCACATTTTAATTCTGTTTCATTTAATTGCACCTAAGTATTAACATGAAGGATCTTTTATAAATGTTTTAAAAAGTCTGATTGAAAGAATTGATTTCACGGGTTTTCTATCAACATACTAGATATTGCAATCAAGGGTTTGCATTGGCTCACATGATTGACAGGGAATAATATACCTGCAACACTGGTGCTACTGCTTTCATCTTCCCCATCTCAGTAACGTGCATTTATGTTTCTTTGAACTTCTAAGACTTCATAATTATTTTTTGAGATCTGCGCCCCCAAGCTCAGGGTCCGTGTAGAATTTTGTTATAGCCTATCTTGTAGATGAAATCAACATTTTGAAATTTAATTTTGTTCATACGGTTTTATAAAGTGGTGTTATATATTTTAAAGAAGAAACACCTTTAGAATGGATGAAAAACAAAGCTTCAGGAGGGCAGGTTATATTGTCATCGGGTTTTGGGGATTTCCAGAATGTAGTAGAAAATATCATCTGAATCCTGTGAGTTAGATCTATAAGTGACCTAAAATATAAAACCATTTTAGCACATATTACCCTTTTTTTATAGATATTATAGATGATGATAAACTATTACTTATTGAAGCAGAGTGTAAAAAGACTAATTATAAGAATGCTTAAAGTGTTTATCAGTTTTGATTTGAGCTGAATTGCATTCCAAAATTGAAAAGCCATTTAAGGTAGTGTACCTATTGTGCACTTTTTTTGGGAATGTATTTGTTTTTTTTTTTTGCAATTCCTGTTATGTGTGTTCTTCATTATTTATTTTTTTCCACTTAGACCACTGGTCCTCTATTCAAATCCTGGAGTGCTGGTCATTTCAGCTGGGCTCTTGACAACCTGAAATAGCCGACTGGTGGCTTAGCTGTTTAACTGCTTCTCCCAGCTTTTTAAGGGACTGGTGCCTTAGAGAGTCCTGGAAAAACCCCAGACACCCAGAACCTCCAGGACCAGAATAACGGACCTCTGACCTGGTCTTATCATCCTTCGAGATGAAGGACTGTCCCACAGACAGCTCCTGAAAAAATCTACCAAAGCCTGCAGCACACAAAGAAGCTGATTAATTTTGCACAAGGCTGATAAACAGAATAAAAAATTTGGGGAAATGTATTGCTATATTAGCTGAAAAAGTTATTCTCAGTGGGTTTTTCCTATCAGACAGATTTGTTTTCCTTTTCAGTGTTCTTTAGCAAAGAGCTTTGACTCTGTGGCAGAGAAAGAATATTTGAAACACTTAAAAAAAACAACTAATAATAGGAAAGTGCAAGTACATCCAACTCCTTTAATAGATTGATTCTCACTCATACGCACAAAGTCAGCTCTGTAGGATCAAAATGAAGTTTATTGGAATTAAGCAGTTAAGTGACTTACGAACCAGTCTGACATCAAGTCTCCTGAAAGTAATTAGAATCAGGTGAATTTAACACATGGGCAAATGAAATTTTCTTTGCCAGTTTTACAGTTCGCTTTTGGCTTAACTGTTAAAACGTTTTACTTGCGGTCAGCTGAGCCAAACTGCATCAGCCGCCCTGAATCAAATTTGATTTGATTGTCTGAAGACCAGGCTAAACACAGCCTTTTTCAGCAGTGTGATAGGAATGGATGAATCTGACTCATTTAGATATTAAAACTGCTTGGTGCTGCACACTAGGGCATAGTTCTTTTTTTCCTTCGTTTTAAAGTGTTTCTTGATCGCTCTTGAGAGAGAAAATGGCTCGCCGGCATGCTCTTTGACAGCGCGTTCAAGTCATGCACTTCTGTGGTTCCAATACGCTACTTCGCAAGTCTGATCAGAAATGCACCTAGAAAGGCCAAGATCACAGGAGAGGAGAGACTATCCTGGAAGATACAAAAAGCCTACTTTTCGAGTTAATTTCTCCCCTTAGTACTGTCTCAAACTGGTACATTGTTGTTTTCTGCACTGCCTACTTAATATTTTATTTTCTGACTACAGCGCTGTGAATTTAACGGTCACCTCAGAAGGGAATTTGTACATCACAGGAACACGACGCATAACCTCAGCGTTGAATGTCCTCGTGGTTTTTTTCGTTGTAACACATGGATTTCATGGAATGTTCCTCAACGTGAGAGCTCCCTGCCTTTTCATTGGAGTGGTTTTTATTAGGTTTGTGTCTGTAAGCGTGATGAAATAACAGTAATTCACCGGCTGGCTGTACACCTACACTTTGTGAAACAATATTGTCCTGTAGCCATCAGTTGGCATTGAAGTGCCAAAAAACACCCTTTTTGAACCTCTGGGTATGAAGAGAATTGAAGAGTTTCAATTGTCTCTGTGAAGCGCTCTCTGTGCAAGAGCTTAGTCACAAAAGGAGTTAAGTAACCCTATACACTTACACCAGGAACTTCCAATCAGACCTATATTTTACTTCATCGGCACTAAAATCACAAAGAAATTTTGTACATTTCATCTGTAGAAATTTTTACTTGAGTATGCCCATTTTTAAATTATTTTTAGGAAATGTAGGAAAGAATATAGAGGGGAAAATCAGTTTGAATTTTCCTGCACGCAGTGATAATGGTCTAAATCTTTATTTGAAGAAACAGACCAATTTAAGGCCTGTTTTGTGGGGGTAAGATTCAGGCACTGCAGCTCATGATAAAGGCAATATTTCCGTGTACTTGGCCATTTTTCTGTGTAGCACTTGACCGTGAAATCCATGTACATGTATCGGTCTTGCAACCCATAAACAAGACGTATTAAATGTGTTGCTTTCACGTTCCCATGCGTAAACTTACTGTACCCAAATGTGAGTCCACCTGTTTGATTTGTTTGCAACCAGAGCAGCAGTCTAGTTCTGCAGAAGTAAAGCTGACAGAGGGTTGTCACGGTGCAAAAATAAGAAGCACACACAGCTGGAAGTCTCTGGGGAGCAACATGTGGTGGTTGTCCTGAAAAAAGGGCAGCCCGTATTTATCAAGAAACAGTCAGTTAACATGAACATTAGCATTTCAATAAAGAACCAGGTTAGTTTTTATTACAGTTAATTTATTGCACGTGCAACACCCCTCTCAATGATGGAGGCCTCAAACAATTTGTCATCTAAGCGTAGATATTGTCAAACCATTTTAACAGTAGTTTTCATAGTATAGATTTATCAGTTTGATTTATTGATTTGCAAGCTAAACAAACCATAGACCCTGGCAGAGTGCATTAAACCTGTTCTGTGCAATGCTGCTGATATATCAGGAAAGGTGTTTGGCCCTAATTTAAAAAAAGGTTTTTAAGGTAAATCTGGTTCCTTGAAGCAATAAACTTTAATGGGTAGTTTTCTTGCATACGATTTCGAACATTTCTCTTAAGCTCCACGTTTTATATTTTGGTCCATTTAAAATAAACTCTGTATCAGGCCTATTCAAAAACACAGACTGTTTTCTGATAAATAGAAGGGGTGGAATAGATTTGGGCTGTCGGATTAGCTATGAACTGCAGATTTGTTCAGGATAGGATCATACAATTCAGGATCGGTATAACATACTCTTGACATTTCAATACCGTAGCACATGGGTCTGAAGAACTGCAGTTTGTAATATTTGCAAAGATATTCCAAAAATGCTACTAACGTTAAACATCCCAGTAAAACCTAATAGCCAAATAAAAAAAAATCAGAATTGTGTACAGTCCTCTCAATGGTGCTTTCTGGTATCTACACAACAAGTGACCTTAAAGGGAACATAAAGCAAAAGTAGCATTTGTTTGTTGGTGTGGGTATTGAGAGAGGAATAAAGGAATGAGATCAGGTTTGTGAAAGAATATATTTTCACTGTGTATGAGGTCGAGGAGGTCAACCTTAAAAAGTGGGGAAAGTTGATTTCTGCCTCATATTACAGCCAAACATTTTTGAAGGAAGACCGAGTATTCATGTATTAAACACTTCTAAGAAAATGCCAGATGCAGCTTGCATTTGACCAATACATCTGGTCGCCCTGTAATATCCCTTTCCTTTTGTTCCTTCCTTGAAATTTCCTTCAGAAAAATGTTAGAATGCCACTGGAAATCTTATTTTTCCCAAACCGTTCAGAACAGGGAGAATTGCAGCATACTGTTCTTGCTAAAAAAAGCAATCACATTGATATACTAGTACTCAGATCATTCTTGCACAGGGGTTGAGATCTGATCTAGATGGTTCATTTGTGTTTCAGTGTCAAGATATTCTGGACATTCAAGCAGTGGAATTTAAAGCAGTCTCAAAGTATGCCATTTGAAATAAACTGGAATAACATTTCGCCATGCCCTTGATAACTTTCAATGTCAGCTTAGACTTTATGTTCCCTTTAAGTGACCTGAAACCGACAAAGACGACTACCTGACATAACTACTCCCTTTTCTGCTTTGAATATTTTTTTCAGAATTATTATCACAGTAAAACATGGGGTTTTGGTAGTATTTTTAGAAACGGGAAAATTATCAATTCTAATAGTATAAGTATTTAATATATTTATAGAGTAGCAGTCTCTAAATATTGGGTTTTAATGGTGAGTTGACATGAGTGGTAATGGTTAAAAATAAAAGTTTGAAAAAAATTAATAAAAAGTTAAAAATCCCAAAAAAAAGACATAAAATCAGATCTATTTTTTATCAATTGCAAAATGTACTTAATGGAGCAAATGTTTTTGTGGAAGATCTTTTTCACCAATTTTAATAGCTATCAAAACCCTGTCCCGAGGTAATAGAAGTTATCTTCTTTTAACAACTTAAATGGATGCCATAGATTGTGTATGTTTTTTTTACCATTTTGTCCAACCAGCGCGTTCACAAAATGGCTGTGATTATGTATGAATGTGTTCTGTATTTTTGATAGCTATTAAACTCTACCAAATCAAGGCTTAATAACAGGCTGGAAGAGGAGGATCCCATTGGGCCACAGTGAAATCTCCCTTCCTTGGAGAGCCCTTGCTTAGCTTGACTAGTTGGTCTGTGCTGCCATGCCACCCCTCTCTTAATTGGAATAAACAGGCTCCCATCCTGCAGTGTAATAAGCCACCAACCCAAGAGTAGCCTGAATAGGGCAGAGAGTGCAGTACGTTTTCCCTTTTTGCTAATTAAAACAAAATGGGGGAAGAAGCATCAAAATATTTCTTCACCTTATGGGTCCTTTCCAATTTTCGAAGGGTTTTGATCGCCATCCGTCTTGTCGTTATTGCCCCAGCGGGAGAAGAGGTTCATACAGAGACACACGCACCGGTACATTTGTTCTGCCTGGACGTCCGTCGCTTCTGTGGCAGTTGGGTATTTCCGGCAAGTCTGATCACTGGTCCAGTATATGGGCACATGATTAAAGTTGCACTATTTCATTTTTGATAAGAAACTAATTGGTGCGGAATATTTTTAATTATGTTGGATTGCTGAGAAATACTACTTCTAAGTTCATGCTGTGTTGTTGATTGCTGCAGCACCTAAAGGCTATACTCTTGTGCCTTTTGTTAGCCTCTATACGATTCACAGTGCACCTTACTTACTTATAGTGCTCCAATATAGCTTTTTTACACTTCACGTTAGGATGAAGGGGCTCCTATAGGCAGAGACGCAGTGTTTTTACAGGAGCAGCAGACTTGCATCTTGCAATATAACCGAGGTTTTGATTGGATGACATCTACCCCTCTCAGTCCAGCCTCTTTCTGGAATTTTGTTTTCAACTTTGTTTTCAATAACTTAAGTGGAGTTGGCGTAGTTCAGAATCGGGCGAGACGGAAACTCTCTGGAATGGAATGAACAAAGCAGAATAAGTTGGAATCGTGCATGGAGAATTCTGCCTGTGCAAAAATGGGGAAAAAGTGAGAATCTATCCCAGTCTCAACATACGACTGTCAATTGAAAGGATAGGAGGAGGGCTGGGAATGTGCCTCTTCATCTCGTCTTCAGAAAAAAAAACCCATTAAGGACGTGATTTGAAATCATATTTGTAACTGTAGGTTGATTTACGGATTGCTGAAATGTACACACATTTCAAGCATTAAAATAGATTTTGGGGGAATATTTTTGTGTGTTTGCGATTATGCCAGGTCTGACCACAGCTTTCCCTTTATACAGATCATAAAATACCTCTTGAGATTCTGCAGGAGCTCTGGTTATATCTGCTCCTGCTTTTCCAGGTTGGGCACTCTTGCGTCAATTCTTTGTCTCCTGTTGTCCGCAGAACACAAGCATGGAAGCACAGATTCACTACTATCGATTTAATCCCACAACCATGACCCTCCAGATATATTTTAAACATGTAGCAGGGAAAGAAGCTTTGTAAGCACTTGTAACTGCTTAGAATAAGACAAAGGTGGCTTACAAATTCCTATACTCATTGAATGTACTGTATTACTGTTTTTAAAAATAATAGGATGAGCTAATAATGATCTAGTCACCTTTTGTTATTGGTCCTTGTTTAATTTGTTTAAGGTATTTTTTGTATACAAAAGTTTACATTTTTATGTATATTTTTCTTGTGTACAAATTATGTAATATGTGTATAAACACTGTATGTAATATCTGTATATAGTGTGACAAAAATTGATCTTTGTTTTTGGATGTACAAATAAAACTTGCTGTGAGGTATTCGCTGACATAGTTTCGGGGGTGCTTTTTACACTTTGCACTAGACTGAAGGGACAAGTTTTTGTTTTGAAGGTGTTGCCTGGTGTGAAACGTTTTGACTCTGTTGTGCCTTCACGGAGCAGGGAAAGGAGCTGTGAACAAAAAGAAAGTGTGAATCTGTGACTCAGTCCCATCTGAGTGGGCAAGAGAGTTGCCAACCAGGTTTTAGAGACGCAGAACACGTTAGGTTTGATGGCTAATGCAGCATTCATCAGCTGAGTTGACCAGAATATACAGCTATTCCCCTGATCATTTAATATTGTTACTTTGAAATTTGATTTGAAAGCTCCACAAATAAACTGTTCTTCCAACCACGTTTGATGAGGTTTAGTTCACAATAGTAGATAAATAATTATCTGATTTTGAGAATATGATAGTTCCTTATGCTCATAGCTCTTTTCTGCACACTCCACTCAAAGTGCCTTACGGGACTCCCCTCCACCATCACCAGTGTGCAGCCCCCACCTGGATGATGGGACAGCAGCCAAAGTGCGCCAGTACACTCACCACACACACCAGGTCTCAGTAAGGAGGAGAGAAGAGCAATGAAGCCCGTTCATAGATGGGGATTATTAGCAGCTCACGACTGGTAAAGATCAGGGGGGAATTTGGCCAGGATGCTGGGGTAACACCCCTACATGTAATGGACGTCGGATTTATTTCGAAGTCCAGTTGTCTCACTCTTTGTATGGATGGGTGCTACATTAGCAATTCTCCAGTCCCCGGGTACAATGCCATCTTAAGTGACAGCTGGAAGAGTTACAGCAATGGCTACTGAATAACATCTCTCATTTCCCCGAGACCAGTTAGTAAGATACCATCAGGCTCTGGGGAACTATTGACTCGAGTGCTTCTACTGCCTGATCTTGTGCTGCCTGAGGCATATTGCTGACTTCTATCCCCGTGAATGCCAGTTAAATACTTGGTTAGCACATCAGCTATTTCCCTATCATTGTCTACAGGTTGGATGGGACAATGGGGCAGTGGTTAGCAATGCTGTCTTGCAGAGCTGGGGCCCTGAATTCAATTCTGGAATGGGTGTGCTGTCTGTGTGGAGTTTGTGTGCTCTCTGTGTTTGAGTGGGTTTCCTCCAGGTGTAAAGCATACTGGTTAATTGGCTTCTGTAGAAACTGGGCCTGACGTGAGTATGAGTGTGGCTGCCCTGCGATGGACTTGTGTCCCATCAGGGGTGTATCCCACATTGTGCCCACTGCTTGCCAATCTGGGCTCCGGTTCAACACCCAACCCTGAATCAGGAGAATTGGATAGAAGATGGATGGATGACTAGACGTTTGAAAGGGAAATGATGTGTCTTCGAGTAATATCTTGAAGCGAAAGGCTGGTCAGGGCTTGTAACCTCTACTGTTCTGTATAGGTTTCCACTGGCTTGCTCCATGAATGTATGAGACACGTATTATTATTGTTGAATTAGGTGACATAAATGCAATTTCCAGAGACTCTCACCCGCATAAAGCCTTGGCAACTGCAAAGGAATGCGGGTCCACTTCTGTTTTAATCAGGCGGCTGCAGCGCGTATATTAATGTTACAAGTCACAACGATGATGCACCTGATCCTTGTGCGCAGTAAGGCTATGCGAATTACTTTCGATGGCAGTTTATTTTTTGTGTTTTTTTAGCAGGGATTATGTAGTATATTTACGACCCTTGAAATAAAGAGCTTGTATGTTCATGAAAAAAGTGCATATGAAGTATTTTCACTTATGGCGTTCCCTCTGTTAGTCCGTTAAAGCGAAGGTTTACTATACATTTAGTATAATTAAACGGAATGCAGGCAGCAACTGAACAGGTTTAAGAACTTTATACCTTTCAATACTGTTTCCCTAAAAAAGCAGTAATTTCCTGTCGGAGTAACACAGATTTCAATGATAATATCCACTTCATTTCTAAAGCGCATTTCATGACGGTGCGCTTCACATGCACTCAGTGCAATAAAAGACCGATCATACAAATGGGCAACACAGGGCAGACAGGAAAGGTTATACAACGGGGAAAAGCCGAGAAAGTGATCATAAAAAATATTATTTTCCAAAATAAATCAAAGCCAGAATTAGAACAGCTATCAGCTCTGCGGGGGAAGAGTAAATTCAACACAGCTGGCACAGTCAGGTGTGTGATTCTCTCACAGCCTGAGGGACAGACAGCCACTGAAATATTCGTGTGGTTTATTGTAATGCTTGAGATTGAAATTAATTGAAGGATTTTTGTTGTCCAACACAGCCAGTACCTCTTCACTGACATTCTGCAGAGTCGTAGTAAGGAACTGCAATGGATTCGGGTTCTGGGGCTACAGAAATAAATATGTCGGAGAAGCTGCTGTTTGCTCATTGATAATTGCTGGTTGCTAATTGATCTTGTTTTTTCCAAGCTCTTGGACTTTGCGAGGGCTGGGGCATGGTGCAGCTACAGGCGCTGCAGGTACTGTACAATGCACAGGCACCCTTGAGAAAGCACCAGGAGACGACACAGCACCCAGGGGATAATACAGTGGGGACCTCTATGTGGGTATGTATGTCTGCATGTTCAATTCCAAAATGTTTGTTTTGGCATAACTTAAATATAACTTGTTTTAGGTTTCCCTACTTAGGCTCACAGATTTGGAAAATAGTTTCAAGACAATTCAAAGACCCTTAATGTCTCTTTTAGCGTGATGAAGGTGACGGTTAAAAAGTGAAAGGCACCCTGGCACTGCTTAGATCAACCTGTCCCTCCAACCTGAACAGCCAAGCAAAGAAGAAACAGTAGGCATGACACCCTGAGGCGAATAGAGAACAGAGTTCAGAAGCTGACATGTGAGGAAATGTCCTTGGTTCAATATCCCAGTCACTCCGCAAAGGGGGCTTGTTTTTCTGCAGTTCCGTACATCTCAACTGC